GCGATGACGTTTTACCAAATTACAGGAGTTTTTTTAGCATGTTTGTATGAATATTGTCACAATTTTTTCGCCGTGATAGGAACCGAACTATAGGAACCCGTGTTATAGGGGGTTGACTGTATTGTTTCTTATCTTTAAATTGGATATTCAAATGTATTTAAGGTGATTATACAAAATGTTTGTATTTGTTGCTTGGCTTCAGGCCGTCTTTCTAATTATTTTAAAATAATTTTGAAATTTTTACATCTAGTCATCTATAGTTTCTGTGTTGTTATGTATATTTTTATTGACTTACAGGAATCTTCATGGATTGCTAATTTTGGATGCTTTAATCGTACTCAAGAAACTAAATTTTCAAAAATGTAAAAGCATATTATTAAAAAATAAAAATGCTTGGATCTTTTAACAAAATGAGAGAATTAAAGTTTCTGAATGTATAAAAGTCATGTTGATAAATCAGAATTGGCATAATAATTGAAAAAGATTTTAACATAAAAATGTTTTTAAAAATTTTACATATCAGCAAATGTCCATTTTGTTTTCGATATCTTTCTTCTATAAAATAGATTTTGTTAAGATATTGTTACTGTTTGAATACACTAATGTGATTAATGTAAAAGACAAAAATGTTGTGATAAAGAGAATAATCAGAATGTTTAAGATAGGATTAGTTGAAATACTCAAAGTAGATCATAGTAAAAAGCTGAGTTAAAGAATGCTAGATTCTTTTTCTTAAAGAAGTTTAAAGAATGCTAAAGATGCAAGAATGGCAGGTGGCCAAAAATTATCAGTACTGTCCCTTGCCCCTCCCAAGATAGTGTTGTGAGGAAGTATGAAATTTATAACTATTTTGTTACTAACACATGTATAAACAGCAGGGACAAGGATTATCTCCTTAGTCTTTCACATAAACTGCCACTATTGTAGTCTGAGACGGACTACAATAGTGGCAGTTTATGTGAAAGACTACTGTTTACTCTATCCCACCTTCCTAACTTATCAACATTGGCATTCCATTTTCTATTGTTCATGCCTAAAGATGGCATATTAACTGGGTTGAAAATATTAATGTTCTTTAAACTTTACTCATTGATTAATTCAACTGAGTGACTACAGTGGCTTATTCATCCATAGTAAAATAAAGACAGTAAGTAGCATTTATATTAATAAGAAATTAGAAATCAGAAGAGCTCGAAAAACAAAATTAAAATTGATCAGGTATGTAAAAATGTTTCCAAAAGAAAAGTAGAAATTTTTAGAAAAGATTCTAAAATTTTTGGCAAACAAAAAATGACAAAGAAAGGCCAAAACATTTTAATTTATTTTATAAAGGAAAATAATCTGAAAACAATACATAAAATACAAGAGAAACTAGAAATCAGATTAGTTTTTGTCTTTATCTATAATAAGGAAATTTGATTTAGAAAATAAAGAAGGATTACAATGCTATCAGTATCATCATGATAATGCTAAAATATTTGATACGGGATTTTGTTGTAGTTTTTAAATTTTGTAAAGAAATTGTAAAGATTGTTCATATGAATCATGAAAATTGTAATTAATATATTAAATTGAGAAAAAAAGAAAAGAGTGTTTAATAAGAAAAAGGAGGGGCGAATAAGGCTTTCTTGAGTCAAACTTGTAATCAAAAAAATTGTAGATAAGAGAGATGTTGAAAAATGAAAGATGGAATGATATTAAAGAAGAGATATAATATTTGAATTTTATTAATGTTAAAAATTATTTTATTTTGAAATTATTTAATAAAGCAGGGCCATGCACACATGGATTTGGAGTTTAACTCCATTCATTTAGAAAGAATTAAAAAATTAAATAAAAATTAAACTTATAGTTATTTTGTCCTGTTCAGTTTCTCCTTAGTCTACTGTATTATGTTATGCTATATTCTTTATTGTAAAAATTAATAAACTACATTATAGATTTAAAAATCACTTTAATCCTGATAGGTTGATTTTTCACACAGCTAGTCCAAGTAAGTGATACTAGATTTTATTGAATTAAACTTTTAAAGCATATCTTTATATCAATATTATGTAAACTATATGTAATATAGTTTGTAAAGTACTATATTATTTTTCCGACTTTTCCAACGATTATCGACACTACTGCGTGCCGGAAATAGCCGTTCCCTAACGGGTACTTTACGCGGATTTGCGTTAGTGTGCCAGGCCTGGACTTTAAGCGTGCACCGAATTAAATAATGACAAAGTTTGTCAATAACAAAAATCATATATTTAATTAAACTTCTAGCAATAAACTATATGCAGTATTTAGTAAAAATCAAACAATAATTTATTCAATGAAATTCAACAAGAATCAACCCGACAAACTGAAATCAATCTATTTCTAACTTAATTCTATTCCCCTTTGGAATTCGACAAAAATCAAAGACTTTAACTTATAAATTAAAGATCCTAATCGTCACCTCAATATACTAGGAACCTATTTCCTCAAACTCTCAAGACTTTCTATAATCGTCGATCCATAAATCAAATAACTTCAAAATCNAATTTGTTTACTCGATGGCAGTACACTTTCGAATCAATTGTTAAATTGTCTGGTAAAATCTCCAAAAAAAAATTTCCTTAAAATCCCACCAAAGAGAGCATCTCTCTTTAATTAAGAACATGTGGAACCCATATATCAAGCTTTGAAATGAAACCAATTTGTTTTAAGTAATCATGAACAGTTCAATTTGACAAATTTAATCTCTTAGTGATTTGACGTGTTGTTATTCATCAGTTTGCTTCAATTAGTACCATTATTTTGTTTTCATTGGCTTCAACTGGCCATCCAGAACGTGGTGCATCTTCAATATTGAAATTGCCAGAACAAAATTTTGTAAACCAGTTTTAGCACTGTCGTTCTGTCAATACATCTTCTCCATACACGTCAGACAATTTTTTTCTCGCTTGAACAGCATTCTTACCTTTTCGGTAATAAAAGAGCAAAATAAGCCAAAAATGCTGCTTTTGATCTTCCATATTTTATGGGACACAAAAAATAAACAATTGCACAAAATCAAACAAAATTTTTTACAAATAAGCCCTTAAAATTCTAGCTGTCAAAATATATAATGATAATACAGTTTAGAATGAAAATGGCGGGAAAAATATGACTAATCTGTCTAGTGGTAAAAAAAAGAAATTACTTTCCGAACAGCCCAATATATATGAAAGCTAAGATTTAGGAACAGCCTAGAATTTAATAATGTGTCTATTGTTATTGAAATTGTATTTAAATTTACAAGAAATAGAGAAATTTTTAACTAACGTTCAATAAATTAAAGCAGTGTAAAATAAATTTTTCTTTGCATTTTAATACAGTTTTTTAATAAATATTATTTACTATTCTATCTTGATAAATCTGATGATTCTTGAGATTAATTAAGAGATTCAAGTCATCAAAAAGCAGTGATTTTATAATCACTGCTTTTTGATATATACTTACAAAAGAATTTTAAAAGAATTCTTAAACTTATGCCTAATTTAGTTTCATCATTGTATTTATACAGACACTTTGCCAAGTGTCTGTATAAATACAATAAATAATTTGTTTGAATTACAGTTTATTTTATATTAGTGGCATAGAAATAGTAATAGTATTATTGATTTTTTTTATATTTTATTATTATAGGCTGTATTATATATTGATGGACAGGCATTCCATAGTCAGACAGACAACCCTGAAATTATAGATGATTGGCCAATGCATGCAACTAAAGGAATTAATACTACATTTGTTGTTGGTGCTTGTTGGCAAGGTATTCTAAATAAATAATTGAAAATATTACTGATCTTAGTAACTACTCTTTTTTATATACAATATACAAAAACAACAAAAGCTTATAAATCTGTCTCCANTTAAATCAATGAAATATAGCAGGAGCAATAAACACTTTAGATTAATAAACAAATTGATATTGCTTAGAATTACTACTAAAGCAAAGTTGTTAACAACACTACCATAAAATGCAGAAAAATATTTGCATATAACAGTTGCAAAAATATTCTACACATTGTGGGGAAAATCTGAAATCAGTGTTATTATCAATTGGCATAAATCAGACTGGTATAAAATGAGGGTTGCCTGAACTTTGTTACCCATTATGTTAGCATGTTAATGGATAGGATAACAAAGTAAACTTGTTAAAATACTTTGTTACTTATTTTGGTATGTTTTCTATAAGTTTTCTTTCAACATTTCAAATGTTATTCTTTTTTTGATTTGGTTATTTCTTACAATGAAGTATAATATAAATGACACAATGTTTTCTTTACATCTGTTTTTAGAGGTGAAAGCTTCTTGAAAAACTAAATGTATAACACCTTAATGGAAAAAGCTGACAGAGGAGGGGCAAAGACCCGAAACACGTCTCAGCAAATGAAAAAAGAGAATTAAACAGATGTAAAGTAAACTTTGTGTCATTTATATTACACTTCATTGTGAGAAATAATCAAATAAAGAAGATTGACACTGTTTCATATAAAGAATGTTATTCTTTTTCAGAAAATCCTTCCCCAAAAATCCATTCACTTTTTATGTTATTTAATCCCAAAAAGAAACTCTTTTCTGTTATTACTAGAACAAATGGTTTAAAAACTTTTGCCCTTGTAAATATATGTATATAATGAAAATTATATTTAGTACACAACATTCATCCTTGTGTTGAATGGGCCATGCAAAATCATATTTGCATTGTATTACTGATGGGTAACAAAATATACAGCTGTCATTATCACGATAAATCTTTTATTAAATTTTGATTCTATTGCTTTTGAGACTAGTTTGATAGTATAATGTAATGAAGTGGCATATTATCACACTTCTAAAATTATAAAATGCTATTTTTAAAAATCATCAATATAAAATATTCTTATCAACTTCAACTTCTTACTTAAAATGTATTTTATATTATTAATAGAAAATAAATTTTTTATCAGAAAGTAATATATATATATAATGTTTTAATAATTTAGTGTAACTGTTCATGTGACTGTTGAAGATGTAAATGAATTTCCACCAACTTTTCTTCACGAATCTTATACGGTAGATGTTAATGAAGGAGAACTTCATGATCAGATTGTACAGGTGAAAGCAGAAGATGGAGATTGCTCTCAAAAATTTAGGGACATTTGCAAATATGAGATAATTACACCTAATCAACCATTTACTATTGATTCTGAAGGTAAGAATTTGATATTTATATTTTATTATATTATTATTGGCAACTCATAAATCTTTTAATTTATTATTATTTAAAAAATAATTTGAAAAATTATTAAATAGTCAGATATGATTTGGATTGTTTGTCATGGAATAAATATATGAAAATGTGAACTTATAACTTTAGATTGATTGTTAGACAGTTTATTTTTATTCAATTTCCAGTTAAAAGATTAGTGATAAGAATCAAATAAAGCAAATTGCCAATGATACTAATAAAAAAATATAAAACATTAAAACAATATTAAAAGTCTTGTGCTTTTAGGATTAAGATTACAGATAAGACATAGCTAACTAGATAAAATAGTAAAAATAAATAAATAAACCTTGTAAATCTAGCATCAGTTTTTAATAAACAAATATCTTCAGCTATATTAGTATTTGTCATCAGGTTCAAATAAAAATGCTCTAGAACATTATATTTATTCCATAAAATGCAATGTTAAATTCATTGATAAATGACATCTGAAATTAAGAGTAACTCAATAAATATAATAAATATAAAAATGAATGTGCATTTGTATTTAAGTGTCTAAGTATAGTACATTGTTATTTGTATAAAATTTGCGATACATTTGATGGAGTGTCTGTATCCCAATGGTTTATGCAGGTATCTTTGAATCTTTGTTTATATCTTTTGAATTATTAATTTTTATATTCATTAATTTTATTGTATTTTGTTACTTTGAATTTAAAATTATGTGTTATTGAATAAATTTAATTTTCTTGAACACTTATATTCAAATCTGATGAAAGCTAATAATTTAGATGAAATGTTTGGTTATTAAAAACCGATAATGGATTTTAAAGTGTTTATTTATTTATAAGTCAAAATATTTGCTTGTTAAGGAAACTAAAACTATTTTTTAATGTAGAAATGTTTTCAGTTTTTATTAATTTATCATCAGCTACCAAAGAACAAGTACATTTGAATCACAGAATGGAATAAAATAGATAGAATTTTAAATTGACAAATAATCAACCAGAATTTTACACTATATTAATAATTATTGTATTAACTGTATATATTTAATATGCTAATATTATTTGTTTATTTTATAGTTAATAAACTATTAATATTTTGAAAAAAGTATATTGTTTGTCTTCTTTTAAGTTATTAAATCTTGTAATTGCTGTAATGTCTTAAAAGTCATTAATATGTGAGTTATCAATATTATAAATTTATTAAAAATTCGTAACTTCAAAGTTTAAATAATCTTTAGTGTCATATTAAGTATCCTGCTTTATATATAAAGTTTATTAAAATTACATTTCTAGTTTAATTAATAATTTTACATGTCACTGTTATAATTTTATTTAGAAGTTTAGGCAATAGCTGAATTATTTAATAAGTGCTCTGAATGTCAAAGTGAAGAAATTCAATAAAGCACGAGTAAACGGCAGGAGTAACTATGACTCTCTTAAGGTAGAAAAAAAATTAGTATTGTTGTAACAGTTTAAGTCAAAAGATGTTTATTTTAATGAAGAGACTTTACATAAATAACTAAAATAACAAAAAAATAACTCAACAATAATAAATTAACAAAAGCAGTTTAAATGAAACATTTTTTTGGTGGAGCAATCACAAGTCAATTCTCTCTAGACACAATGCAAATCTTAAATACCTGAATGATTCAAATGTTTAAAAAGTGTTCAATTGAAATGGAAATTCCATTTCATTTCAATTGAACACTTCCACTGGAAATTCCATTTCAGTATTTAGAATGGTGATTTTCAACCAAAGTTTTGCAGAATATTCTATTCTATTCTATATAGTTCCATGACCAATCTCACAAAGATGTGTGCATGTAATATAAATTATTTGTAATAATAATGTGATATCATTATGATCTGTTGCAAAATGATTATTAGATTACCACTAATCTTTTATTTATTTTTTTTTTTATTTTACTGATGTTGGATCTTCTTAATTGATTTTTCTGATGATTAATAAACAGCCCTATAAAAAACACCACTTCTACTGTAGTTTTAGTAAATTTCTACAAATCTAGAAATTTGATACTTGATAACGTAATTTCACTAGCATACTGTGGCATTACGAACAGTGACCTTTAGCAAATAAAAGAGTTCACTACATAATAGTGAATTTTTTTATTTGCTAAAGGTCACCGTTCGTATAACGCTACAACACGCTAGTGAAATTATGTTATACAGTTAAATGTTGGCGTGAAGTGTATTTTTCTTTTATTTGATACTTGATTTTACAGCATCTGAAAATCTTTTAATGAGACCAAAACATAAGTGTTAGTAAATATTTGTGATTGCTGGATTTTTCAGATTGTTGGTATTTCACTAAATGGACAATGGAAAGTGCAATGTCATATATAATTAATAACTAATAAAATAATTATTTTTATAAATTAGTTTATATATAGTTTCTGCCAGAGTTTCCATCATTAAGTGGTCAATATATTCTTATTCAGTCATAAAATCTAATTTACAAAATTGATACCCTCCAGCAGGTTCTGATTTTGCTAGTGCAAGTTAAATGTTTCCCATTAAGTTAAGATCTAGGCCAATGAAGAGTAGAAATATCATTAGATAAAAGTCATTGTTATAAGTTATTACGGAAGTATAACAGGACTATTATATTGCTGAAACTATATAAACAGATCATTTATTTTCTTGACAAATGACAATGGATTTATTTCAGATATCTTTTGACAATTAATTTCTCTCAGCTATAAAAGGAAGAGACAGTTGATCATCCTGTCTAATACTTTTTCACACTATGATTGATGTAACGTCTTGCTGTTTGAAAATATTTCTTTATATTTTGTAAATGATACCAGTAGTATTAGAGACTATCAATATATATTTCTTTAACTCGAAAGTACGTACGATTACTTTAGTAAGTACGATTTTTAACTCAAAAAAATGAAGCACTTTGTAGGTCTCAATGGAATAGCATAGGGGTTTAACATCTTTCAACTTTCTCCAGTTCAAATTTTAATATTTATCCTATCCGAAGTGATCCTAATTATTGGATTTCCATGAAATTTTCAGACAGTTAATTGTATCTACTCTCCAACACCAATTTTCAGACAACATTCTAGTCCAAAGTGAGAGGTTCTCTCACTTTATCTCAACAAGATGTACCTGCAAAACTTTCAATTTCATTAGTTACATTGAACAGTTTGCTGAAAGGCACTAGCTGTTTAAAACAAAAAACAAACTATAAAAGATTCTTTATATAATGCAAGAGAAGTAAAAGTACAAATCTACTTAAAATTGGCATTTTTTACTCTGTTGTTTTTTAACTCGAATCATCTGTAACTCAAAGTTTTTTCCTGTCTCTTGGAGCTTTGAGTTAGAGAAGTTTTATTTTGTTGCCTTTCAAGAAATTTAGGCATTTGTTCATATAAACAGCTGTTAAAGAATATAGTCACTTCAACCATTAACCAGTTAATAATTAAATGATAAAGCCAATTTTGTTATAATGCTGTAACTTGGTAATTCTTCTTTGATATTCTGACTGTAGTAGCAGTTCTTACAGCACAAATTTCTTTCTATATTCTTCTCTGTTTTGAGTGCCTATAGATATAGATATTACATAACTTAGACTAAAGGTAGACAGTTAAGTTAGCATCTTGTATTAAATTTAAAAATTAGAATTAAATTAATTAATTTAGAATATTCTGGAAGTAAAAATCACTCTGAAATGGGACTTTAATCTGCAATTTCTTCTTATTTTTGTGTTACCAATTAGACTATTCAGATCTCTGTCAGATCTCTTCCAAACTAATCTGGAGCAGGTTTGAGTTTCACTCCAGGTTAAGCTTGTCTTCCAGATTATTTTAAATTAATTAATTTAGAATATTTTGGAAGGAAAGATTGAATCAGAGTGGGACTTAAACCTTATATTTTCTAAATTAATTGGTTTGCAAGCAAAGATTAGATAGTGGTCTAGGTATCTTAATTGGCAGTGCATATGTGTTGTATGGGTAGAAGTTGCATCTCTGAGTCCTGTTTTGGATTAATGTTTTTTCCAGAATATTCTAAGTTAATTAATTAAATTTAATTAACTTGGAATATTCTGTTATTTATTAATCTGAATATTAGTTAATTAATTATAATTATTGAATTTAATACAAGATGGCAATGTAATCAGCTAATTTTAGATCAAATTTCATTTCTGTATATTCACACTAAGTCAAATTGATCATATCTAACAGTGATTCTCACAAACACCTAAAAAGCCAGTTAAAAGTATCTAATTTTACTATTGAAAACATATCCATTACCAAATGATGATCATAGACAAATGAAAAAATTTGTGATAGTAAAATTAGATGCTTTTAACTAATTTTTTAGGGTTTGTGTGATGTTGCTATAATATCAGTATATTTAATTAGCAAAGTTATAGCTCAATAATGAACTTGGTTTTATTATTTAATTGTACTGACTATTTACATGACTATATTTTTGTGTTACATTTTATTTCAATTTAAAAACCATTATATATATAAATATATAGAATATTTAAATTTATTATTTAACAAATAGGACATTCTTTCATTTAGGATGGTCCTTTTAATAAATGTATTAATTATATCAAACACAAAATTAACATTTAATTGTTATTCATTAGTTATTTGATCTAAATAAAATCTAAACATAATAAAAAAAAATAAATGATAGTTTGTAGCAGTTATGCACAAAGTAAATAATAAAGAGGAAAGAAAGGAAGAAAATGTTTTTCTTTGAAAGGAAGAAGAAAATGATTTTATAACTCTTTCTGCCCTGTAGGAAGAGTTATTTAGATTTAACTTTAAATTGTTTAGATTGGATATAAATTATTATTTTTATGATAAAATTATGATAAAGTTATAATTACTCTTACATAGGTCGTATCAAAAATACTGAGCCACTTTCATGGGATCAAAGCCGCAATCACATTCTCCTTGTTGTTGCTTATGATTGTGGAATGAAAAGATCTAAGCCTACAACAGTTAATATTAAAGTTCATAGAGTTTGTCGACCTGGCTGGAAAGGTATGATTTAAATGCAATTTAAATTAGAAATTTTGAGTAATAATTAATAATATACAAAGTTTAAAATTTGCATATCTTTGATTTTTCGTAATACTATGTAAATATTTGTTAATATTTTGTTTTTATTTGAATTAAATTAATATTAATTATATTTTTAAATTTATAATCTTTAGATTTAAAAATTGTGATTTTAGTTTCTTTTATGAAATTTAAATTTCTGTGCATTGAAATCAGTTTCCTACTAATCATGAAGGAAACTGTTCTTGAAATACTAAGTAACCAAATTATTTAATAATAAAAAAAAGATACAAAGGATTTAATTTTTATACTAGTTTACCAAAAGTATTAGTGTGAAAATATATATTTGGAATAATTTAATATTTTATCTAGGTATTCGAGAAAGAATTGAATACACTCCAAGCTCTGGGCAACAGATACTTTTTCCAGAAGCACAGTTAGAATTATGTGATGCACCATGTACACCAGAAAAATTAACAACAAAAGTTACACTTTCAACACATCACATTGGAAAAGGATGTGATAGAGATACCTACTCAGTCGACTCTCAAAGGAAACTATGTGGTAAAAAACTTTTCTTGAATCTCTAAAAATCATTATTTTGTATTATTAAAATTTTTTATCTTAAATATATATACATTATTATAAAATAAAATTAATATATTATATAAAATTTATCAAAATCAAATTTTATTAACAGTCATTTTTATATTAAAATTAAATGTATGAAAAAGTTTGTATTATAAGTACTGTGTATTTAATTCATACTGTAATATTTATTTATGCATTTGTGTTTAATTTGTTTGTATATTGTTAAATTAATATCTGTCTATGTATTTATTATGAATTATATTATTTTAATTTTTAGGTGCAAGTTCAGATAGTATAGATTTACTTCCTTCTCCTGGTATTGGTGCTGAGTGGACAAGAGAATTACCAACTGATGAAGGCCATGAAAGTGATCAAATATATGAATTTGATGGAGTAACAAATGCTGTTGTTATTCCTGAATCAACCCTTAACCATAATTTAACCAACAACTTCACAGTTGCATTTTGGATGAAACATGAGCCTTTACCTGATCATAATAATTCACACATGAAGGAACATATTATCTGCAATGCTGATGATCATAGTAATAAATATTTATTATTTAAAAGAAATAAAAAATTTTATTAAAAAATTAAGTTACTAGATTTATTAAATACAAAATATATATTTTTAATTTTAGAAATGAACCGACACCACTATGCTATATTTGTAAGAAATTGTCGTTTAATATTGTTGCTTCGTCGTGAATTTTATCAAAAACGACCAATTGTATTTAGACCAGCAGAATGGCGCTGGAAGACAATTGAAGTTTGTGATAATCAATGGCATCATTACGCCATAAGTGTGAATTTTCCAGAGGTAAATATCCAAACAAGATTTAAATTTATTATAATTTGAGATAATTAATTGTATAAGTAATAAATTTAGGAATTAATTATAAATATGGAGATGCAGTAAATTAAGAAAATATATATGTAAAATAGATAAAATAGATTTTATTTCACATAGATATTACTTTTAATATTATAAACCACTAGTATTATTTTATTATTAATATTAATAGTTTTAAAATCATTTCTCTTTAATAATAATAGAAATATTTAATACTATAATTTATATGTTTTTTCCGAATATATTTTTTGTAATCAGGGACGGATCTAAGTTTTTCGGGGCCTAGGGCTTATTGAAGTCCAATCGGGTTCCATTTTTACCAAACCTAACCTAACCTAACCTATTAAGTTTTTTTACTATATGATAAGCACTTATTGCTAATGAAAAGTATTAAAAATTTATGATGATAATTCAATTTTTGTGGACCCTCGACACTTAGGAGCCCAGGTCTTAAGTCCTATTAGTCCCTGTGTAGATCTGTCCCTGTATGTTACTGAAAATTTTATTATTTATTGCTCAAATTTTTAAAAATATATTGGGTTGTTTAAAAAGTAATTTCATTTTTTTTCCGTGGAAAAAAAAACAATATTTTTATAATAAATAAATATTTTATTGAATTATATATCAACCATTTTGGTCAAATACCTGTTGTCATTGTTTCTGGTAGTAGCATGATTTCACATTCATAAAAGTTTTGATCATTGCTTACAAAAAACTGATTCAAGTGATTTTTGACATTGTCATTTCAAGTAAATGTCTTACAGTTAAAAAAAATTCGTATAGACCGGAACAAGTAATAATTTGAGTGTGCTTGATCTGGCGAATATGGTTGATGTGATAGCACCTCCCATCTAAGTTGTAACAGTTTCTGATGAGTTGCCAAACTTGTGTGAAATTTGACATTATCATGGTAAAACACTACAACTGTTTTGTTGATCAATTCTGGCCGCCTTTTCTGTTTGATGATATTACTCAATTTGTTTACTCGATGGCAGTACACTTTCGAATCAATTGTTAAATTGTCTGGTAAAATCTCCAAAAAAAAATTTCCTTAAAATCCCACCAAAGAGAGCATCTCTCTTTAATTAAGAACATGTGGAACCCATATATCAAGCTTTGAAATGAAACCAATTTGTTTTAAGTAATCATGAACAGTTCAATTTGACAAATTTAATCTCTTAGTGATTTGACGTGTTGTTATTCATCAGTTTGCTTCAATTAGTACCATTATTTTGTTTTCATTGGCTTCAACTGGCCATCCAGAACGTGGTGCATCTTCAATATTGAAATTGCCAGAACAAAATTTTGTAAACCAGTTTTAGCACTGTCGTTCTGTCAATACATCTTCTCCATACACGTCAGACAATTTTTTTCTCGCTTGAACAGCATTCTTACCTTTTCGGTAATAAAAGAGCAAAATAAGCCAAAAATGCTGCTTTTGATCTTCCATATTTTATGGGACACAAAAAATAAACAATTGCACAAAATCAAACAAAATTTTTTACAAATAAGCCCTTAAAATTCTAGCTGTCAAAATATATAATGATAATACAGTTTAGAATGAAAATGGCGGGAAAAATATGACTAATCTGTCTAGTGGTAAAAAAAAGAAATTACTTTCCGAACAGCCCAATATATATGAAAGCTAAGATTTAGGAACAGCCTAGAATTTAATAATGTGTCTATTGTTATTGAAATTGTATTTAAATTTACAAGAAATAGAGAAATTTTTAACTAACGTTCAATAAATTAAAGCAGTGTAAAATAAATTTTTCTTTGCATTTTAATACAGTTTTTTAATAAATATTATTTACTATTCTATCTTGATAAATCTGATGATTCTTGAGATTAATTAAGAGATTCAAGTCATCAAAAAGCAGTGATTTTATAATCACTGCTTTTTGATATATACTTACAAAAGAATTTTAAAAGAATTCTTAAACTTATGCCTAATTTAGTTTCATCATTGTATTTATACAGACACTTTGCCAAGTGTCTGTATAAATACAATAAATAATTTGTTTGAATTACAGTTTATTTTATATTAGTGGCATAGAAATAGTAATAGTATTATTGATTTTTTTTATATTTTATTATTATAGGCTGTATTATATATTGATGGACAGGCATTCCATAGTCAGACAGACAACCCTGAAATTATAGATGATTGGCCAATGCATGCAACTAAAGGAATTAATACTACATTTGTTGTTGGTGCTTGTTGGCAAGGTATTCTAAATAAATAATTGAAAATATTACTGATCTTAGTAACTACTCTTTTTTATATACAATATACAAAAACAACAAAAGCTTATAAATCTGTCTCCAGATTTGATCTGTATTTTAAATTACTTAAACAGTGAAATTTAGTTTAAGATAGGCAGTCAGATCAAATTACATTATTTAATAAATATAAAATTATAGTTTCAAAATAATTTAGTTATTTGGATTTATGATTAGCTGTAGAAAGCATAACATTTACTAAAAGTTTAATTGTAAAATTGTGCTATTACAATTATTATAGAAATTATTAAGAGAAATATTTAAATTGTTATTTGTTAAAATACTTATATACATTAGGAGCTTGGACCTTAGACTAAATACATTTTATTAAATCATCTTAAGTGCAATGTTTTAACATTCTTCACATCTTATGTTGCAATTTATTATAATACTTTTTTAAATATTGGTTAAATAACTCTAAATATAAAAATGTTAATAAAGAATAATCAATGGTAAGACAAAAAGTATTACATAATACAGAGCAAATTAATTATAATGAAGATTTTTAAAAATAGACAGATAGAATTAAAGTTAGTTAATTGACTTTTTGGATGTTGTTGTTTTATATGAGCCATCAAGAATTGAATTTTGGCACTTTTCTATCTCAAAATATTTTACCTTTTTGGGATTTTAGATTTCTCTGGTGATGAACTTGGTGTCTCTTTCTGACTATACTGTCTTTTTTTCATAAGAAATCTATTAATTTATATCATGTCAATGCATCATTGAGTAAGTCAGTGTGAGACCAATGTAACTTTGTTATGCTAGTTACTCATTAATGGAATATTGCATATTAACATTCTCTCAATTACTTTAATATTAAACTGTATATCTATTAAACATAATGGAAAATTTTCAAAATGATATAATTATATAAAGAAAAATGACAAGTAAATTTTGATTTTCTTTTCTTCATATTTTTTTAAAATAATGTTTATAATTTAAATTCACTTAAAAACAAGAAATAATATTTGAAGGACATATATGAGAAATTAGAATTATTCAAAACAGATTAGAATAATTTAGATTAATTATTGTAATATATTTTGAATATTAGATTGTGTAATACATAATTAGATTAATAACATCAGGAAGATTAGAATACAGAGTTATATTAATAAGCATGTAACTGAATATATTATTTAGTTATTAAAATAAACATGTACTTAATGTAAATATTTCAAACAAAATATATTTCTTTATTACATAGAAAATTAATAAAGTTTTATTATAGATATAATAGTTTCAGTTCTTGACATAAAATATATATATATATATATATATATTTGTGTGTGGGGTTTCTTTTTATTATTTATTAAATATTATTAATATTAAAGTTTTTCATCTCTAATAAATTACATTTAGATGAGATGATTTATTTAAATATAAATTATAATAATATATCAGTGAAAAAATATTAAGAATACATACAACATAAGACTTTTTGATCAATTCTATATATTAAATCCAATTCTTCAAAGTAAACATTCACATAAGAAATGAAAAATTCAAGAAAATGTGTATAAAAAACATTTTATAGAAATTATTTATATATAGTCTCTAATTATCTTCAAAAACAGTGAAAATATCATAACTTTCTCTTAATAATCTATACCATAATGGCATATACTCTGCCAAAAATCACTAGAATGGAAATAAAATTTTTGTATAATCTTTCCATCCTATACTACATGCCTTTGCAGCAACTGTTGAAAGCATGACACTGATATGCAGTTTAGAAGGTACAATAAACATTAAAACATTGCTTTGTTTTACACTCTATTGTAGAGTATATTATAAAGTAAGTAAAATGAAAAATATAATACTGAAATAGAATCACCTAAGCTTCATGTGTGAAAGATACAAAATATCCTCTGAATAACAAAATGTTTTTTTATCTTAATTCATTTGTTTGATTTATTAATTATTAATAATAAAATGTATAATAATGTAATAATAAATATTAAAATAAATTCAGGAAAATTAAATATAAAATAATTGTAATGTCAATACTATTCAATGACATACATACATACAAAAAGGACTTCGGCTGTACATGAGGTGTTTAGCTGGCGGAAAAGAGGGTAAGGGAAAGGGGGGGAAGAAGGAGGGAGAGGAGATAGATAGTAGAGAAAGGTAGAATCCCTCTGAACAGCATACATATGACTATAATACCCTCTATGTTTGATGTTGGCGTGCAGTTTTTAGGTTGAAAGGCCGTAGTCCCCAAAAGGTCTAAAAGAAAACCCAAGTGTAGCAAACACCAATAATTGAGTGCCGCCACAAATAGCTAAGTGTAGAAGTTAGTGCCAAGTGGCTGTTAGTAGGAAGACTTATAACTACTTAATGCTAATGAAACTGAACATGAGTGCGAATCTTAATACTACTTAACAGCTAGACAGACAATGTGAAAAAAAAGCAAACAAACTCAATGACAAACTAGACAAGATGAACAGACAGTCAAAAGACAAACATGCAAGATTCCAAATTTTTTTATTATTATTTTTTATTTTTTTTTAAATTTAATTTTATTTATTTTTTTTTAAACATTAACTTACTCACTAACTAAACTAACTTACCATAACCTAGGACGAACCTAACCAGAAATCAAGCTAAGAGTCCCTAATCTAACTTACAACTAGGACTAACTTAAACTAACCAAAAAATTTAGTCCAAAAAGAAGACAGAAAATAAGAATTAAAATACAAAGTTGAAAGCAGTTATATACTGACAGTTGAAACAAAGCAAGGGAAAGCTAATTGCTGTACTACTAAACAATAAACAGAATAAAATGAATAATTTTTTATAATACTGTATTTAAATGTGTAAGCTATATGCTAATTTTATTATAATTAAGCTTCAAAATTTCTTGATGGCTTCTGATGTATGGGGTGCATGTGTTTTATACTGGTAAAGGGATGTACACTTAAAAAGTTTTTTTTGAAAAATCACTGGTTTAATTTATTATAAAGTAAAATATTTAACTTTCTAAAATGTAAATAATTGAAACGTTTGATATTTTTATAAATCTGTTAAGTATCAATTTACAAATTATACAGGTAAACAAAGCAAAATGGATTTCCATTTTCGTGGATTCTTAGCTGGATTATCTGTTCTTCGAGGTCACACTGAAAGTCCCGATGTGTTAGCTTGTTTACATCATTGCAAAGAAGGTCTAGAAGTACCTCCAACTGAACATTTAGAACCAGGAATGGTAAGAATTTGTTATTTTTAAGGTAGAATGTATCCTACTCAGTTAATACTGATGTCTAGTGCTATGCTGGACTAAGTTTCAAGACATAACTGTAGAAAAGGCTGTTGTTTTGTTTACTTGCTGTTTGTGTATGTATCTGTATTTAAAATTTCCTGACTATGTGACGTGTGTTTAGTATGGTAGCCTTCTGTAATGCGATATATGTGATTTTATGAAGTCTAAATGTTTTTAGACTTTTGTGTAGTGTATATAGTATGCTGCCTGTGCAAGAAAGGACTACTGGCACAATAAGCCTTATCCATTCTCTACAGACACTTTATTTCATGGACAAGTTATGAATATTTGCTAATTATTATTATTATTATCAATTTTTAAGTATCTTTTTAAATTTTCAAAGTAAAAATTCAAATTTTAACTTTGTACTTTATAGATTAAGCTAATTTAATTATTTTGCTAACATTTTTTATTATAATAAAATTATCCTTTGCTCTCTTGCTTGTCAAAAAAATAAGTGATTTAAATATTAACAACTTGTTGTATATACTGTATATTTATTATTTTATTAACTTTTTTTATTTCAGGAGTTACAAAGTAATTCTGATCTTACAGAAGTCACAATTGACGGTAATAGTAAAACAAATCTGGAAGAATTAGTGGCTCAGCTTGCTTATATTAACTCTCGAGAATTTCCTACACCTGGTCGTCGTAGCCTTCATTTGTCAACTTCTGTTATGTGAGTAGAATGATCTTTAACAGAATTTTTTTACAATAAATAGAAAAAAGTTAACACTTAAATTGAGATAACTTTTACTTTATAAGTTATTTTAAGATAAAACGTTTTTGTTTCAGTAATTTTACAATAGTGTAAAGATTTATCTGTTGATTTTTACTATTATTAAGTTAAAACAAGGTTGGAAGTTTCATATTATATGTATTACTACTTAATGTGATACGTAGATGTTGTAAGGATGAAATTTAGATTTTTTCTTAATAAAAGTTCTAATATAATAATAAATTATATTAAGATACATCTAAACAGTTAATTTAGATATTTTCTTTCAAAAAATCAAAGCTATAATTAATGATTTTCATTTTAATTTAATTACTTATGTAATTTCTTTGCAATTTCCTTCACATAAAACTTATACAGAAGAAAATTTTAAAAAATGAGAGGGGAGAGATTTGTTAATATTTATTCCAAAAATTAATATCTTTTTTTTGGGAAAACCACATTAAATGCTTTGGTAGAGAATGAAAGAAATTAAAATGCATTTATAATAAGCTACAGTATCAATTTCATTAGAAATTTAACCAGTTAAAAAATTATTTGGAAGAGTTTTAATTAAAACTTAAATGAATTTAAAAATAAAATAAAAAAGTTTCAGTCTTTTAATTGAATTTCAATTAAAGACCACCTCTGCAGCGTTAATTGATTGTCAATGTGTCACTTTACAAAAAAGTAAGACGATCACATTACATTGTTTTAGTTTAAATTGTGTTTTGAAAATAATTAAAATTAATTTAAGATTTAAAGTAAATAAATTCTCAAGAAAGCAGTTTATTTTCTGACTTAAATAAGCATAAAAGTGATAGAAGACATTTAAGTATAAAAAGCTAAAAATTTATTTTATTGTGAAAATTGTTAGGATTTTGTTGTTTTATCTTTTGTAAAAAATTATAAATGAACTAGAATACTTATCCCAATATAATTTTAAAAAGTAATACTAAATTAAATGTATTTATTTTGTGAAATTTTTATTTTGATAAGTTAAAAAGTGGTTGATTAGTAAAGACAAGATCAGATTTTACATAATTAGTTAACTGCAAATATATTTGCTTTGGTTTTTGATATTATTTATTATTTTTTAAAATTTTGTGATTAAATTAAAAATATTAGATAAGTGTTTCTGTTATTATTTGTTATAAGTTTAATGTTAGAATTTTTGTATAGACTTTTATAAAATTTTATTTTCCTAATTTCAAATTAAATTTTATTTTATATTTTAGGTGTTCTGATGGTAAACAAATGAAAATTCCTACTTCAGAAGCATTTGTCATAGTTTTGCAACCTGAACAACTAACAATTGCTATTAATGGAACTCCCAATGTTCCATTTGAATATGAATATTTCAAACAAGGAATAATGTTATTTTCATCAATATCTATTACTGTCAGTAAGGAACAGGATGAATTAAATCAAATTGTTCATTCTAGTACTGGTTCAACCTTTAATCAAGAACATAAATTAGATTCATGTACCGTTCAAGTCTATCCACCTCTTAATCCTGATCATGAATATTTCATTCTCCCTACAAACTTGATGTCACATTTGGGTATTTTGCATAAACAAAATAAAGATGGACTTGTCATATATGGTAATGATTTTTTATAAATAGTTTTTATATTTAATAAAAACATTATAAAGTCATTTATTTTTAATAAAATACTTTAAAATTTAACTTGAAATTATTTTACATAAATTGTTTCATCAGTTTTAATGTTTTAAATTTTGTCATTTAAATCAATGTATAATTCGTTTCAAAAGATTTTTCACTTTCAGAGCTTTAATATTTCTTTAATTCTTTTTGCATGTGTCATCACATGCTAATTTTTACGAATGATTACATATTTTTTGGAATGTCTTAAATTTCATAACTTTATCAGTATTGATTTTAAAATGATTGCTTAAGGTAAGATGAAAACTATTTTGTGTAGCACTGACTATACTTTTCCAGAATTAGACTTTCAATTGTATGATTTATTATGATATTTATAAAAATAGATCACAACTAGTAGATATTTTTGATAAATTATAGATTTTAGAAGCTCCTACATGATATTTTTATAATTAAAATATTTTAATACATGTATATATATGAACATAATTATATAATCAGTAATCTAATTTTTGAATCATTTGTTTTCATTAAACAAAATATTTATTATTTCCAAAAAATAACTAATGATGGTTTTGTTTGTTTGTTCATAATATTATGCATATTCTCATTTATGTATATTATATATGAATAATAGAAAATATGTTCTTTTGTGATAATTTTAGGATCTGATACAATTCATAATTATGAAATGGTTTTGAGAGAGGTGCATTATTTCAATCGTAAACCAGCATATTATCTAAATCGTGCCTTCAAACTTGTTTGTTCTGAACTGAATGGTAGATTCTCAAGTAATGAATATGTACAAATGGTAAGTAAAGTAATTATGTCATTTAAAAATTCTTTATGTAGAAATTTTTAGTTATTTTAGAGCATTTACTATAATTTATAACAATGATAAAATATAGTAGCATTTCCTTACTTCATCCAAGATAAATGATAGAGATAAAAGGAATGATATTCAATGGAATCTCAATTATCTGTTAATTAACAACTTTAAAAAAGCATATACAAATAGATATATGCACATTCTTTATATACAATAATAATAATAATTTAATATCTAATTAATGTTTTAAATGATAAAGTTTTCTTTGAAATATAATTTAATCATTTAAGTATAATAATAGTTTAATAATAATAATAAAAAGATTTTATTCAGTTTTATAAAATAAATAATATTTTAATTGAAAAATATTAAGTTTGTATCAAAGTTAATTTTTATGTTTTTCTTTTCTCGCTTTTGAAACAAATGGAATAATTTGTTGTATGAAGAACAGAATTTTTATGATTATAATTAATTGTTTAAACTATTATTATTTGTGGAATGGATTACTTATATATACAATAAATAGAAAATTTTATATTTCTTGCCAACTTCATAGAATATTAAACTGAGAAATGTCATTTGCAAATTTACAATTAGTAAGACACTAAAACTTTGAGAAAAATGTAATTTGGATTATTAGTATTTGATTGCTTTGTATATAATTGATTATCATCATAATTTTTGTATTATTCATTTAATTTCAAATTTTCTAAATAAATTAGGAAAATAAAACTTTTTAAAAATAAATATATCAATACTTGTAATATTTATTTTTCTGGAGTATTTTTAAAAATTTTGAAAATCTTTAAAACAAAACAATATAAATTTAAGATAGCAATTTTATAAAATTGTTTATAGTTTAAAATATAAATGTTCATTGATAATTTTATTCTTCCATTTTACTGCATTTTACTTTAGCATATTTTATATTTTATTTATTAAAAAATCAGATTAAAAACAATTGTATCTGAGTATTGAGTTTTCTGGTGAAAATCAATACTCAGATTTTAGTAGCATTTCCACATTTCAGTTATAGATTGAAAGTTATTTATTAATAAACTATTAATTCAGTAATTGAAGTTAAGAAAATTATTAAAAACAAAATTTGTCCTATGAATATAAATTGTTAATTTTTGAAATGTTATTAAAGGATACACATTCTGTTCTCATTAGATGAAACATATATTTTTTCTGGCTGTTGGTATCTTAAATTGAACATATGATTAATACAGTGGGTGATCGGTTAATGAACAAATTAAATAATGAATACTTTCGTGAAAGATTTTTATGTTCGGACAACAAACACATGATCAGATAATGAACATCTCACAGAACAAACACAAGAGAAAGCGATGTAAAATAATGAATACCGATTGGTCTTCCCTTGTCTTCGGACAACAATTCGAAACTTTTTGGAATGCGTGAGGTGTCGACATTGACACTCAACCCATTATATACTGATTAGATAGTATTCCTTCAAACTTTGAAACTTTCCTTTGTAATTCCAGCCTTTTATTTTTCTGACAAACAATTTTTTTATAGTATTTGCAAGACTGTCGGGCAGGCACTCATTAAGTTTTGCATAGGTTTTTATTTTCAAAAGGTGAGAGTATAATAGCAAAAGTAGAGAGTGGGCAGATGTCTGATGTCTGTTGTTGCTGGGCAGTATGGCTTGAACAGGTCTACAGTAGGCCGCAGTTCAATGTTATCTAAGAAAGATACTGTATTGTCAAGAAGACTCAAGCAACTTAAGGAGTAACAAAAATCACATCTGAGAAATAAAGAACATTGAAGAGCTCATAATGGAACCTGAAACAAATCTGACGACAGAAGAATGCCAAGAACTCTTGAATGAAGAACACCAAGAAACTCAGCAATATGTTTTCTTCTGAAAAAGAGAATTAATATCGATATCTGCTATTAAACATTTTTTTGAAGAAGTGGGATGATGTCAGAACAATGAATGGCATCCAAACCAGGTTGAGGTTAATAGGCTTAGGGATCTCTCTGACGACAATGCTATTAATTACTTCTGAAAAATCTTGAAGAAGAAAGAAAAGTAATCGACATTGGACAGATTCTTTAACCCTCACAAATGGAAGAAACATGACTAATAAAAATGCAAGACTGTGTATGTATGTATTTTTATTATTACATAGTAAAAAAGTACATATTTTTTAGTTTTTGGGGTCTCCAGAACGAATTAATCAAATTTCCGTATAAACCTATGGTAAATCGATAATCTGTTAATGAACAATTCAGATAGCAAACAAAGTCTTGGAACAGATTATGTTCATTAACCGATCACCCACTGTATATCAAAATACATTTCAGTAATTATATATTTATTGAAATATTAAATATTGTTGATTACATTTAATTGATTAATAATGATTAATAAATAAAGATTGATCATCAATGATATAATAGTCACATATGATCATTGATTAACAAATAATTAAATGTTTTCTATGATCATATTCATTATTTAATTTTATGTTAATAAATGAGAAAGGAATTTATTGTTGAATTATATATAATTAAATTATTTTTACTAAAAGGATAATTAACAAAGTAATTTAAAAAATTTTTTTTAAATCTTTTTAGGTTACGGTCATTCATCCACAGTCAGAATTAAGCCATGAAATTAAAACAACTCATTTACCGCCACTACCAGTAGCTCATGCTCAAGTTAGTGGTCATGAGGTAGAATTTAAAAATGCAAAAATAAAACAAATTGAACATGTTGACAGTAATATCATTGATGCTAGTAAAGCTGTAGCTAAAACATCAGCAAGTAAGAAATTTTATATATATTTGAATTAAGAAAGCTGCAAACAAAACTGAAACTAATATTTCATTTACATTTTGTAAATTTTTAGGCCATGCTGTGACAATAATCATTGTAGTATGTGTTGGATTTTTGGTATTCATGATAGTTTTGGGAGTTATCCGCATCAGAGCTGCTCATCATCATTCTCATGAAAATCGTGATGAAGAACAAGAAATGGCCTGGGATGATTCATCGTTAACAATTACTGTAAACCCGATGGATGTAAGAGAATTTGTTTATTATTACATTTAAATTATAATAACTATAGATAACTATGCTATTGATATTATATACTATTGGTGTTAAAAAAAGTCATTGAATAATTTTAAAAAATAATATTAAATTTATAACATGTTGCAAAAAGTTGATATCTTCTTGCAGTTTTATTCATTCTCTTATGTAAAATAATTTTTTCATTCGTTTGATTCTTTTCAAAGTAATAAAATATCTGGCTGTGAGAAGCTTTATCGTTATTAACATTTGCTTTTTAGATTATTTTGTATATCCATATAAAAGTAATGCTTTACTATACTTTAGATCACTCTGTTATAATTTTGCAAGTTCTTTCCTTGTTCAAATCAAATTTGCTGTGAGTCCGTCTACCATTTGTTGGATTACAGAGACGTATTACATAGAGATCTAATATACAGCAATCCAGTTATATAGTTCTTTCCATGTTCAAACTTAGTGTGTAGGATTATTGAATAAAATATATAGTATTATATATACATAGGAGATTAAACTATTTAAAGTAATCAACTTTAATTACTTTAAATTAATAATAATACCTTCTATGTAATTTAATCAAATATTTATGATTAATTAGTGATATTTTTGTGGCAAGTTATAAAGCCAATGTAATGTAGCTATAATTTAAAATTTTACACTGACAAAACAAGTTATTGCATAAACTATATGCAACTCTAAAATTTAATGTGTAAAATAATATAAAACTTCACATTTTAAAGAAATTTATATTTTTAAAATCCTTAGTCATAAATTACTGGTTTCAGAAATAAGCCTATTCTAATTCTTTACCAAAGATTATATTGTGGTAGTTTTCTTTTCTTACCAAGATTCTTAACAGTCAAATCTATTTTCCGTTGATTACACTTACAAGTTTCTCCGAATTCTGATTTTCATATAATCATCTGTTTTCACGTGGGAATGGTTAAAACTTATATCAGGTTCCTGTGTGATTTTGGAATTTCAGTCTGGAATTCAATTCAAAAGCTTTGCTCTTTCTATTGCTATTAATCTTTACTCCTGACAATACACAAGAACAATTTAAACGACCCAGATAAAATACTTTTGTTTTTAAACACCAGAGGGTGAGCATCTGGTAAAAAATGTGAATACACAGTTCACAAAAATTTTTGCAAAAACGCAAAGAATCCTTTGTTCACGCTTATAGGACCTAGGTTTTTGAAGCAGTGAAAAATGAATAAAAACCTTGTCTTATATGCGATTAAATATGGTAAATTAATAAAATTAAGTAATAAAATACAAAAGTGTTATATCTGGATAAAATTATAAAGAAATCTTTATATTATTTCCTAATGAAGGTTAAGAGTGATATCAATCCAGATATGTAAAGTTTTTTATTTTGAACAAGTAATTTATTTTTTATTATTATTATTATTTTCTAAATCAGTACATCTTTCATACTATTAACATATTTCATTGATTGTCTTCATTGGTCATAACATACTTAGCATTCTTCTATACAAAACCATATCCCAATTTCTAACCATATTATATTATTTCATAAATGAATACTTATGAGATAATACATGTAATCTGCTCACAGCTACCACTAAAATATAAATTGTTGGTTTAAGTAATACATAAAATTCATAATAAAGGAATTAAAATTTTTTCTTATTTTGAAAGTAAAAAAGGCACTAAAATCCACATTTAAGTATACAAAATACTTAATGATTAGCATGTTAAAATTAATCATCATTCCAATGTGTTAATCATAGTCTAATGAAGAAAATAAACAATATATCCGTAAATATAATTTTACAAATGTGATTTTTATGATCCTATTAAAATTAATTTTTTCAGCAGTTAAATGTTAACAAAAAAAATTAGCAAAATATAAAAATTAAATTGGTAATGATAGACAACAGAAATTTTTGTTTTATTAAGCATAGTGTTTTAGGGTCTTTTATAAAATTGTTTTACATGATAAATTATCATAAAAATTTTATGAGTAAGAAAGATTTTCAAATTTTTGAAAATATGCACAAATAACTGATATAATTTGGTGGCCAACACTTAATCAATATCATTTTAATGCAATTTGTTGAAATACTAAGCATAAAAATTTTTAGATCAAGAATTTGACTATTTTCAGATAATGGCATTTAATTAAATTTTATTTTAAGTTTCTATTTTTGAGTCATTCATAATTCAAAAGAAGTAAAATTTCAAATACAGAATGTTCTTTGTGTAAAAAAATGAACATATTTCAACAGTTTTTATAAATATTAAAGATTACAACTGTCTTATTCCAGGAGTTTGTAAGCATTATGATTTATTTGATATTTTCAAGGAGGAAATCTTTCATCTTCAGAATTATTTTTTAACTTTGATTCTTGCCACCTTGTGGTTACTAAGAAAACCTTTTACTATGCCACCAAGAGTTCAGACAGACCCAAAATATGGATTGCTGGACAGTGAAGAATAAAGCTCAATACAGTAGAGCGTCGTTTATCCAAAAGTCAATTATCCGAAAGAATTCCAGTTGGCAAATTAAATTTTTGCCAGTGCTGTGGCACTGCAATCTTTCGCTATGTCTTCAGTTACTCAAATATTTTACATTTTTGATACTAAATTAACTTTTGAAGTATAATTTTTTATTGTTTTTATATTTTTCAATATATTTATTTTGTTTGTACAAAATAAAAAAATAATTTTTAACAATACAATAGTCTTCGTTAGGCTTAACGTTGACGAAAATTCAATGCAAAGCGACATGCAACGGAGAAAAATTTCAACATGGGATAGGTTAATATATTTTTTCGTACATAATCGGTTATCCGAAATATCAATTTTCTGAACAACCCCAGTCCCCAATTGATTCGATAAACGACGCTCTACTGTATATTCAAAACAGACTACCCACAAAAATTTCCTGGGGTTGTTGTTCTGGATTCAATCTCGGGTTCCTCAGAGCAGTAGGATGATGCCTTAACAGCGCGACCATTCAGCCATCAATCTTCAGTGTTAATGAATGCATTTTAGTCATTTTCAAATGTTACAATAGAAATCATAAATCAAATTGAGAAAATGAACAGAGTTAAAGAAGTGAAATTTTTCCACATGAATAAGTTTACTGCATATTTTTTGAAGTGTATAAACATTAAACTTAACAAACTTTTCATTTCAGAGTTTATTTGGTATTTGTTTCAAAAATGGCCCTAATTTACAAGGTGACACTCTGTACATATTTGATAACAAACACAAAATTTGTTACTACAGCATAAAACAATTTCAGAACATTTAGTGATACTTTTCAAAACAGGATTTAAAGATTAGTGCAACAGTTTGAGATAACATGTAACATGAAGAAACAAGAGTCTAGTGTTGAGATTATAACAAGTTTTTTGTTTGGAATATTAGAAAAATCCATGTAAAGAACAAACTGAGAATGTAATCTTCCTCAGTTTACAGTACATGATGTATTATCCAAAAGTCTGAACTTTTATATAAAAACAAAATACTACTTACACAAAAGATGAAAAATTGGAAAATACCACATACTTCAGGAAGTGGATGATGGCAATGATTACTCAACATAATTTAGCTTATGAAACAATTTTTCAAGTTAATTTGTATATAATCAGATATAACTGTTAATTGTAAAGTTGTAAAAATTAAAATATTGTCACAGAAGAGTGTAAAGTGAATATCTAATATGCTATTATCATATCATAATTATTCCTTCTTTGTGAAAGACAGTATAACTAAAGATACTTGTTTTGATTTATTGAATTATGCACAGTTCTTTGAGTCAGGAAATGAATACACAGGTTATATTCTAACAAGATTGAACATTTGCTTTGATTGAAAATTGAGGTTTACATATGCATGAATTTCTGGACATAACATTTCCTGGAAAGTGGATTGAAGAATATGCCTGAAGTCCAGCTTCCAAAAAACTCAGCTTTGATACCAATGGATTTTTTTTCTCTGAAAATATACAAATGATCAGAAGCACCATTTGTAGATAATTTCTTTACATAATATGAAGGACGATATCATACATGTTGTTGAAGGAATATTATATCTCTAATAAGTGGCAACACTTCTAGGAATTTAAATATTGATTGGATATGAACAGAGAAGAAAAAGTATTGAAATTGGTTAGCATTAAAAAATCAAAAAGTGAAGTAAAATATTGATATTTCTCAATTATTATATAATGTAACAAAAACTGCACTCTCTTAATTCTTTTCCTTTCATCAATAAACTGTGGAGAAGAAATTTAATATTTTCATATAAATTGCCACACTAGGCATAGGTATCATTTATTAAAAATTAATTTTATGAAGAACTATTTGTTCCAGGATTATAATTATTTTTCAAATTAACAAATCCTCCATATTTAGAAAATTTTACTTTTAATATTTTATGAAATGTAAAATTTTTAGATACAACATTCTTATAGAAAATGCTGAAGTTAATAATGATCAAAAAGATTATATTTATAAAGCATTTATTAGTACTAATTTTCATTAATTCATAAATTAATCTTCATTGTATTTTTTTCAAATTAAACTTATTATGAAATATATACATTATAAATTTATATTATAACTATAGTATTGTTTTCTGTAAACAGCAAATTGAGCAGAAACAAGAAACTCAAAAATCTCGTGAAGAGGACAATAGTGACAGTTCTGATGACGGAAGCAGTTACCATGACGATGGAGAGAGCTCAGAAGAAGAGCCTGAAAAAACCAAAGGGCGAGAACTGGAATGGGATGACTCCACTCTCAGCTTCTAAGACTGTATATCTTGCACATCAATCAACTTAGTGTGAAAACTGTGAATTGTTGAATATCAAACTGTAGATCAGATGGAGAAGTACCACGAAGTAATCGTGCTAGTGCTTTGTATCAAAAATTTCTTCCCCACAGTGTAAATTAACTGTTTCCTACATTTGTCTCTGAAGATATCATCCAATGGATTCTGATTAGAGGTAATAGTTTCAAAGTTACATTTACTACTGTTTACATTTGTGATCTCTACTTAAGTTATAATTGATTGAATATTATAGCAGTGCCATAGACTGATGTTCCTGCATTTGGAATTTTAGTGTACCTAAGTTAGTGCCACTTTTCTCTGTTAAAAAAAAGGAATTCTTTACTTCCTTTTTCCATAGTTAATTAATTAATTATTGTGATAGGGTACACATTATAAATGTTAATTAATGCCATGAGAAAAGCACCATTTTTGCTTCCTTTGAAACAAGTTGTTCCTCAAAGTGCCAGACGATTTCAATTCCTCTCCAATATTAATGTGGAAAAAGTGAATGTCGACATATCTAAACTTCTCCACAGTGATGGTAGTTGAGAATTTGTGCAAAAGTCTTCATGTTTGTATTGTCAAAATGTTGTAAACGAACTGTTTATTCAAATTATATGTGGGTGATTGCAATATATTCATCAATAATTAAGTTCTCATGACGTATTCGATTAATAATGTAAAATATGGCTTGTCAGTTTGATTTATTTGGGAATATGGGTTGTAATTTGATTATCAAACAGTTAACTTATAAGAAAAAATTTCACAAAATTCTTCATATAAATATCTTATATGTAAATACAGTATATATATTATCTACGTGAATCGTCTTTTATGTAACTGTAATTGCATCTGTCAGTATCGATGCTTTGAAAGGAAAAATAATTCTAATTTACAACTATTTTCTTGTTATAGAAATTTTAATTATATCATTTTTTATGTTTATTTTAATATTATATGAAATAATAATGTAAATGGGTAAGATTACAGATATAATAGTGATATTATTACTTTGAAGAATTTTATAGATAAATTTCATAATCACAATATAAGGAGATATTGCTTCCATGAAATTTCAAAATCGAAACATAAATTTAAATATGTTTGAATGAAATTTGTACTGATTATTATGGAGTATATCAAAGAAATTTTACATAACAATTGATTGAAAAGCAATGTTTTACCAACCTTTTTTAATAGGTAGTAAAGAAAGAATACAATATAACATAAAACAAGGAATTACATGTAATATTCTAACAAAATATTCAAGGTATTCAATCTTTAAAAATAACACCTCATCAATGTATCAGGAAAAAACAATATAGAAAGGAATATTAATTGTAAGGCAAAGTTATTTAAACCAAAATAATATTTATATGTACCATACATTATATATTTTCGTTTGAAGTAAATATATCTTTACTACAACTGTATAGAATATAGAAGAAATTGTCAGGTAAAGAGTATCAGGATGGATATATTTATACTGTTTAGATGAAATTAACTCATCGAAAATATGAGTCATTTTCATGTATTTTGTTATCTGGGTTTTATATAATTTCAGAATCAAATTCCTTTTATTATGCTAATTATTATTAGGGATATTCATGATATACAACTGATAATTAGCTTCACAAATAAATAGTGCTTTAAGCATGATCAATTACAAACATCCCAATTGATGGGTATGATTAAAACATTATTTTGTTGTGAAAAGAAGTTTTAGCTTTAGTTATTTTGTTATAGAATTTACAAAATAAATTAACTATTAGGATATATTAACTGAGATGATATATTGGAACATAATATAATTGTATATAACTTTTTAATTTACTCTTCATACACAATGACGATTGTGATGGTAATTGAGTAGTCTTCATCCATATATTCTTAAGATATTACTTTGTTTTTATAGTTTTCAGTTAATTTTTGTGTTCTTTGACCTTTTTTAGCAAGAAATTTAATATAATCATGAATAACAATTAAATCTGTTGGAGTGTATTTGCAATTAGTTTAATATAATAATCATTAATCCATTCATTGATTAGACAATTTTATATTGCTAATGGTGATAATGCCATTGCTATTCATCAGTTGTCTGATACTGTTTATCACAAATATCCACGTTTCAAATTATTAAAAATTAGAATGGTGTGGATATCTTTTCACTTTTTAATAATTTCATTTAATTTCTAATTAAGTAAATATTTATTTAGATTAGTTGCAGCTGATATGTTTTTTCCTTTTTCAATTTCAGCATTACATAATTCCATTGGAATGCAGTTTTCTTATATTGTCATTTAAAATGGCATATGATTTCAAATTTCTATTGAATTGAAACAGTTATTAGAATTTATTATCACTATTAATTCTATAATCTTACCCAATTTATACATTATCTAGTGAGCAACCTCTCACAATTTTGTTAATATTGACAATTTAAAAAAAACTACTTAAATACTTGTAGTAAAAAACTATTTTAAATGGCTATTTAATTGCCCATTTTGGAAACTATTTGCAATGAAGAGACGAGACTACCTGTTGCAGCTGCTATTTTTTTATTTTTTCCTATTATTCTATACAATATATTTTATGTGCAGCAAACATTCCATGTCGAAAGTGAGAATTATTCATTTAAATAGTTATTAGTGTGATTAAGGGGTATAGAAATCTTAAAATAATAACAATAAAAAAGATTTTAAATGAATGTAAATTTTTTTCTGATATAAATAATGTGCAGATATACTGTATTTAAGTTTTGTTTTTAATTCATACAATGAAATCTTCTCTTAAGATTTTTCAATATAGCAGAACGAAATTGAGGAATTGATCGGATCATGTAAGTGTTAATGTAAATGCAATAAACTCATTTTTATCCCCCTTAGTTGTTTAAGAAGTGTTTTTTTAATGTTCACAAATATAAAACATTTACGTGTTGACTAAACATTGATTAAAAAAGTAAAAATCTGATCGAGATATTTAAATTTATATAATTTTTTAAATTAAACAAACACTTATTAAAAGACGATATACGTAATATTCAAATGTAAACTTTAGTGTTTAAAATACATGACCACTTAACAAAATTCAATGCCTAATATTAGTGAAGCTTGATTTTAAAAATCCAGCAACGAGTTGCTTAACTTTCCCGGCAAATTTAAAACTGCGTGTGCCGCCATCTGTTGTAATATTCTATTGTAAAATAACTATATTTTTAGTTATTATAAAATGGCAAAAAGGTTAATTTATGTATGTTTGGGGGCACGATTTACGTGTCCCCATACATACAGAAAAAAAATCCAGAATTTATTTGAATTTCTCAACATTTTAAAGTCCTCCCTGTCCAAAAATTAAAATGTTCCATATATAAAGTTAATTTTAAGAAAATGTCTTTAAACTGTACGAAAATATAATTCCAAAAAATGACTTCCAGAATGGTATTATGACTGTTAAAAAAGTAATAAAGTAACGAACTCTGTTCATGTATAGAAGTTTCAAGTCGACATCACGAGTGACGTCATGAGCACGCGAAATTGTCCGGCGCCATCTTTGTGGTTTGTTTTCGTTTCATTTGTGCTTACGCGCGCTTTAACTGGAGTGCTTGTGTTGTTTATTTGTCACGAATTTAACAATGGTAAATTGTTATGTAATTGGGTGTAATGCTAGTTCACTCGAGAAGAAAGGAACGTCATTTTTTAAAATTTCCGGCATTATTTGTCATCAAGGACCCCAAACCGTGGAGCTTTCACGACGAAGGCAATTTGCATGTGGCTCTAGAGAATTAACCGGAAAAATTTCAATACGGATAAAGTGGATATCGATACAAGAGTCTGTCAGAAACATTTCGTTTCAGGTAAGCAATAACATTTGATTACTATTTATCAATAAATGATTAGATAAACATTTTCCGGTCGTATACATCCCGGTTAATGTCCAGATACGTGGACCGTCATGGCGGCACTTCCTGTTTCAGCCTCGAAACCAGACGGTTTGCAGACGACGTGTCACGTGACGACGCGAGCGAACGGCGGCGGCTGTCATGGCGCCTCATCGCTGATTCCAGCAAAGAAAAGGAAACAGTGGGGACGCACATTCTAACCTAACCTAACCTATTCTAATAATATAATTGATAATAATTATGCTAATTTATTAGAATAGGTTAGGTTAGGTTAGAACGTGCGTCGGTGCGTCACGTGACACGTCGTCTGCAAACCGTCTGGTTTCGAGGCTGAAACAGGAAGTGCCGCCATGACGGTCCACGTATCTGGACATTAACCCTAGTACAGTATCAAAAACATTCCGATTCAGCACGACACACAAAAAAAGCAAAACTCACCTCTACCTCTCACGACAGGGAAAAAAGCGTCGTTCTTTCTTCTTATTTCTCTTTCGCCAAAAAGCTTCGTTTCCTTCCTTTCTTCTCTAATAAAAAGCCTCATTTCCTTTCTTTTTTCTCTAATAAAAAGCCTCGTTCAAATACTGGCGCGTACTGTACTTAAGTACCTTCTCATAGACTTGCCAGTGTTACCAGCTAAACACACGCACACCAACAAAAGTAATATTGAAGTAGCCCAAAACATCGCCAAATATTGCAGCGCCACAGCACTGGCGAAAATTTGAAAATGCCGACTGAAACGCTTTCGGTTGATCGATGCTCTACTGTACTTTGCTTTTATAATTATGAACTGCTGCTGAGTGTTTGCTAAATATATTTCTGTGTTTAAAATTAGGTTTGTTTATCGCTTTTTGTAAATTTTCTTCGTCACAATATAATTTAAAAACTCGTTTTCAAACTGAGTTTTCAATCCATAATTTTTTTTATTTCAACAAAATTTCCTCTAGCCCTAAACACTGGTGTCGCTATCTTCTTTGCCCTTCTTTCACTTATCGTATTTGCATGTCGACGAAATGCCGGGTGTAATCGGGCTGCGATTTGAAAAGATTGTAAACTTATAAATGACCACTGTCGCCGTCTGTCCGGCAGTCTTACATTAATCTCGAGAACGAACTTAGATAGACGAAAGACGAGATCAGATATGAAAACCCCGAGGGAAGGAAGCCCCGATTAAATATACAGCAACTTCCGATGCAAACCGCAAGTCACGTTATTTCAGTTAAAAAATTTTCCCCGAAAAATGACCGGCACGACTTCATTGTTAGAGGAAAAGTATGATGTACAGGGACAAGCTTCTGCTAATTTATACTATAATATTATAAAGAGGTAAAGTTTGTAAGTTTGGATGTAGGAGGTAATCTCGGAAACTACTCATCCGATTTCAAAAATTCTTTCACCAATATTTAGAATGAACGTTTAGGCTGTATATTATTCCGTTAAACATTCATATAAATTGAAAGATATCATCTAGGTGAGCGTTATATTTTTGGTGTACGCAGTGCATGCGTCCGAACTTGTGAGATATAAATTTACATGTCCTGATTCATCATCGCCCGGAGCAAACCGCTGAACCTAAAGAGGTGAAATTTGCTACACAATTAGGGTACTTCATGAAAATGCACACTAAGAAGGGATTTTTCGAAATTTACCCGCGGGAGGAGAGGGAAAGGTTTAATGCTTAACCTGAAGAACGTCTTCTACTGTACTATTTTAGATGCGAGTTTTTGTTTTTATAGTAACGACTAATGCGGGTAACAGCTAGTTTCACATATTTTAAATTAAGTACATTTGAAATATAATTAAAAATTGCAGCCCGGCAGTTTACAGTTTTCGCCTACCTCTCTTTATTCTATAAACGATAAAATTGTTTTGTAGCATACAGTTAAGAATTTTTTTTAACAAAGATGTAAAATCTTAAAATAATTTACCAAGGTACAATCTCCGACATCAATGGCGGTCGCGTAACATTGTTCTTTTATTTTTATACACAACGTACTTCCATTTATCGTCTATAACATTGCGCTATTCAAATTAATTAAGTTATCATTATTTTTAATCGCTATGTGTTCTGTACATTTCCGTAGACAAAGTGGAAATAAAGTTTTAATATTATATTTATTAATTTTTACTACAATGTATAAAGCAAGGTGATTGGATATTTTTTAATTTAGTCCTATTCCTCTGGAGATATGTAAAATTTCATATAATTCTACATAAAGTTGGTTAAATGAATTATTGTGTATTCTGAATTATAGCAAGAGTGTCCATCCTTTTTAAAAATTGAACAAAAGACTAATATATTGCCTTTCATTCAAACAGCTGTTAAGAAACTATAGTAAAATTCACTGACTTAATCTGGCACAGATGAGATCGTAAAGATGCCAGTTTAAATGAGATTCATCAACTACAGTATTCTCCTGAACTGACTCAGTTGACTCAAGATGCTCTTCTGATGATAAAAAAAATGTTTCTGAGTGATGTTAAAATTAATAATCCTTAATAATAAAACAAATTGTTATGTGATTTAAGTATTTGATTGACTTAATAAATTTCAGTATTCGTATATTGGAAAGAATAATAAACATATAGTTTGCAAAATAATACTAATTATAAGTAAAAATACTGGATGAAAAGAATTTTACTGTAGTTGAAATTTTAATTATGTGAGCTTTTGAAATATCTTTTAATAAAAATCATGCTACTTTGTGTACATTACTTGTAAATAAAATGTGGAATTTTTCAAGTATGTGAGAAATCAGATGTTGATGGATGCTTAAATTTATATTAATGATAAACTATTAGTAGTTGAACTGTTTATTAATAAAGTTCTAAAAAGTTCACGTTATATTTTTATTAAATCTTCAGGAACACACTTGATTCTAGACAGTTATTTTATATTTTTGTTTAAGATGTTGCATTAATTAAATTTAAAGTAATGTTTATTTTTCAATGGTATTTTTGAAAAATTTTTTGAATTATGTTTATATCAAAGAAATATTTAGAATAAATTACAAACTCTTTGCAGTCATATATAACAAAATAAGTAATTATCAAAATTATGTTTAAAATTATAGCTCACTATTAAATCAGTCAATTTACTTGTAGTATAAATGTTAGTGTTGATTTAGAAAATGAATAAGTGTACATTGAAATCTTTTGCTAGTAAAATATTAAAAAAGCATGTAAATTAAAATAAAACACAAATAATTTTGTTAAGAGCTTTTATAAGAGAGAAGAAAGATACCACCGGAAACAGTCAATCATATTTCTAGTCATAGCTGATCCTTCAGTGAAAACAATAGAAATAGTGTGTATACTGAAGGATCAAAAAATAATCTGTAAAATACTTAAATTCTACATTATTATTTCTGAAAACAAAATTGAATATATTATGATTTATATGAGTATTCAAAAAACAGAAGCTTTTATATATATTTTAAAGCAACATTTATTATTGTAAATAATCATCTCAAAAAAAAAAAAAAAAGAGCAAAATATAAAAATTATTTTCCATATATTCTGGAACTAAGTATTCACTTTCAAGTTTAGTATTGTTCATAATTTGTTTATAATGAAAGTTTGATTTAACGTTTTTATTGGAATTATCAAAGTGAGTAGAGTATGGTCTTGTTTTACATGTGTTATATGNGATATTTCTATTTTAATTAATTCAGATACTTTTTCTTTAATTATATTTCGTACTTCAGATTTAAAATTTATCATATTTATGTTCATTTGAGTCGTATTCGTTATTAACGTTGATATATCTGTTTTAATGCTGGAGATATCTGTTTTTATGTTGGAGATATCTGTTTTTATGTTGGAGATATCTGTTTTTAGACCTTCTACTGTTGATTCTATATTCTGCACAACCTGAATCGGTGCTATTCTTCTTTTCTGTTCCAGTTGTTGTGCTTGGATGTCCATTGTTTTTAGGTAAGCTGCCTGTAAAAATAACCATGTAAACGCACAAACATAAGAGAGACAAACACGTAAAGAGCGATGGGGTGACCGCTCAAAAAACATACAATGCATATTTACTTATGGAAATATTTCCAATTGTTTCTATATATTTCTAATGATTTTAAATTTTTCTTTGATTTTGAGTTTAAATTTAATTTTTAATTTTGTTAAATTTAAATATGTACAATTCTACAATTATACATGATTTTTCACATACTCAAACAAAATAACACCACAAGCAATAAAAGCTAATAACTAATAAGCTTGAGCTAATATATATTTTAACTGAGACAATACATGAGCTAAATAAAAAAAAATTATTCTTTCAAATATTTACACTTAATTCCAACTAATTCCTAATATCCCAAAGTATTTTCCATATTTCTATAGTATTTCAGAGTGCATGTACTACTATTTCCACAGTGATCACCCCTCAGTAGGGAAACAGATACAGTTATAACATGGCACATGAACATAGTTACTTACATTTAGTGTTTCGGTTTCGCTCGGGTTTCTTCTCCGATCATCAGAAATGGGATTTTGTGGATTTTGCCTTTGACGTAGATTTCGAGTGCTCATTTTGGCTTTTATTCGGTAAGCTGAAACATAAGGAAAGATTAACAGATGCGTATACACTAATTATAAACATGATCTAATCTAAAGGTACTATTCCAAGCTGACAATCTAGTTGAAGTTATACGTGAAGAAATATGTATTTTTTTTTATTTCCTGCTTGCAATTATTATTTATAATTTTTTTATATTCTAACAAAAAAGTAAAACTAGAAAGATCGTTTTATCAGAATTAATATCTATTAGCATCAGTGGTGTGTTCAATACTTTATCGGTTTTAGAAAATAAATGCGTTGTTATTAATTAATTTCTTAGTAGCTGATAAAGCTTGTACCGGTTAATTTGGCGCCATGGTTAGTTATTTTCTTTAAATAACCGTATATTTAAACCTTTTAACTATATTTGTTAATTTTATTAATTAATACATTTTAGTTTATTATTCTTTCAAGTGGCGTGTGTTTGTATTACTCAACAGCCTAATATTTTCGTTTTGTTGACATGTCAGTTTGGTAATATTACCTTATAGATACATTAATGACTTAGTTACCAGCATACTTTTGAATACGTAAAGAAATGTTTAATATCCTAAAACATTTTCGATGCTACTACTTTTTTGACAGTCTGGAATATTGTCTACACCAACAATACCAACATCAATATTTGTACTTTATAAAATGGTTACAAACCTAAAACGAAATCTAAATGGGAAAGTAAATAAACACGTGATAATCCATGTTTATTTCTATTATATAGAATTAGGTAATATATTGCCTATACAGGTTGGCATTCATTTAAACATGCGCCCTGTATGCACCCACAAATTATAATGTATTTATGTAGAAAAATTAATTACCGATTAACGCTTAATTAATTGCTTTTTACAATTAAATAATTTACTTTTACAGTTTATCGCTTATGAAACAAATTTTATAAAAATGTGTTAATCATCATATAATTTAAATAATTATTGTATTTCTCTATTTCACTTTGCCTTATTGTTATATTATTATTTTATGTTGTCGTGTTTTAATTTACTTGCATATTAGAACAAATTATAAAAATTATTATTGCAAATTAATTTTATATGAAGCAATGAATTGAACTGAGAAGTTTTCTAAATATGAAAATCTTTTCTTAAATGAATTGAAAAGTTTCCTAAATAATACAGAAACTTTTATTTATTGTTAAAATAAAATTAATTTTGTGTTCAGTATGGCCCAAACCACTACTACTAACGGTAGATATTATTATCTGCGCCACACGGAACAACCATTGCGCGACGATCCAGTCCGGTAGGGTCGTCACGTGACAACGCTCAACTCCAAACGGCCAAGACGTCGGGAGCGAGGCTACCAGTCACAACAGGAAGTGCCGCCATGACGGTATACTTATATAAAATTTAACTACATTGGTTTTTTATATGGGTTATTCCCAAAACATTATACGTGTTTTGGAAATATTCGAGTCAAATTAGCCTAGATTTGATTAATTTTATGGAAGAAAACCTCTCAAATAGCCGTACCCCCTAAACAGCACAAGTGCACCTTAAACTGCATAATTACCAAAATAAATATATTGAAAGTCATAAAACAAAAAATTTATATTTCGGAAGTTAATCTAGTACAGGTTAATGTCCAGATATGTGGACCGTCATGGCGGCACATCCTGTTTCAGCCTCGAAACCAGACGAATGATTATGTTCTACCTTTATTTTTTACCTTTCGGTTTGTTTTCTTAGTCTGCTCGTAATAAAGATACTGTAGAGTTAATAATTTAAAGTATTAAGCAAAGCTTAGCCGATGAAGAATTAGAAAAGAATTTTGAACCAATTGTCCTTCCAGTCTAATTTACATAAATGTGTGAGTNCTACGATGAAGATATTCATCTATTCATCTTACACATGCATTAGAAAACTGTTGGTTATTATAAATTTCTATAGGAGAAAATAAATTTTTCTAATCTGAATATTTTACTATCATCGTTATGTGGAGCGAAAAAAAAATGGGGCGAGTTTAAAATTTGACCAATCATCATACTTTTCTTATTTATATAATCGATAACAGACGAGAATGTAATTACAATCGGCGGTTTGAAAACCTACCAAATGTATCGAACCTTTTACTGGTAATATAATATTTCGGAAATTTATCGATTTCTTATAATTGGCTTGCCATTCATTCTAATAGTGTGACATATCGAATGATCTCTAGCGAATAATGTCTTTGATAAAAGTAAAGAAATTAGTTCATTTGCAAAGCAAGTCCTTTCATGGTCGCAAATTTAAACGAATAGTATTAACTAAATTTGAGTCTGTCGGAAGGTCGTTAACAGACAGGTGCATTAATTGGAAGTGTATTTAGATTGCCGAAGTACACTTAGTAATAATTTCAAATACAGAAAGACAAAACCATTGGGTGAGGGTACTGCACTCTGAGATTACCATGTTCCCGAGCTCGGCCAGTTACGTGGACGCAATGAGGTTTGCGTGAAATTCATTTGAAACGCAAACCTCATTGCGGGGTTTGCGTTGTATGGACACGCAGGGCGTTGTATGGACAAAGGGCGTTGTATGGACAAGAACGATCCTCATCGGCCATTCTCGGCATAAATCAAAAATATTCAGTTTTTAATTTGTTTGTAAATATTAATTTTCCTGGTCAATTTTCGTATTGTCAAATAGCGTTTTCGATTATTTACGCATGCCGATTAATATTTCCGATGCGATGATACTTCATGTAATCTATATACAGTATATATAAATGAGAATGTTTGTTCGCTATACACTCCTAGGCCGTTCCATCAATTGCTACGAAACTCGGCAGTTACGTTTATATACTCCTAACTTAGATAATGTCGTACATTACATCTCACTCCAAAATATCCATTGGATTTCTGTAAATCAATTACTTTCTATCTAAATTAGATTGGCTCAAGGTCTATAAACACGAGGTCTGGATACCATACCGTAATGCATCGCGGCAGTCGCCATGTTGAGTTTTTTGAGGTGTGGAGGGTGTTTCTACAGCGAATCTGTTTGTTTCTTTCGATTTCAATTAGTTGGATTTCTTGTTATATACATGTTTATTTTTTTAAAAGTGGTTTGGTATTCAGCACCTAATTGTAAAAATTCGACAGCCAAAGGTGTAAGATTGTTTCGGTTTTCATCTGACAGATCCAGGAGAGTGATGATTTAAGAGTTAATGTAATTAATGGTTTATTAATGATTATATACAGAGGAACCAGATTTATTAGAATTGAATAATAATACATTATCATCGCGAATAATTGAAGAAATGTTGCCTTAAAGATTTTTGTCCCAAGGTGACATTTTATTATTTGATTTACTCAACTTTCTTAACCTATTAGTCTACTGTACTGTACATTAAGAAAAAACATGATCTGCTGACATTTTACAAGCTTTTTTAACAAATATTTTTAGGACATTAAACATTGCTTTTTCAGATTTAAAAAAATTATTTATCACAGGAACCACATAATAATAATATAAGATACAATTCACTAATTAATTAATATTGTGAAAATCTCTATGAGATTTTTAATATAATAATGTTTTAATAAATGATTACTTGCTTAGAAGACTACAAAAATTATCTCCCTCTTTTAGTTGATGTTTTCCTTTAGCAGGAACATTAGCCATACAAGATTGCTTGAATATATTCAATAAGAAAAATTCAACTGAAATTTAATGCATATTTTATAATTATTGCTTTTATAAATTTATATTTTGACACAAATAATGCTATTTCCTGCATATATTGTCATTTAGTGTGAACATGTTACATTTTCTGAAGTAACAGTTTTAGTGAAATTGGAAAATACAATATCAGGTTACTAATAGAGATCTTTTTTAGATTTTTATGTTGTTAGATAAATACAAAAATCCTGTATATAAACTGCTTTAAATTACATTAAAACATGGTTCTCAGATCACAACCACTGTTTATTTCTAATAGTTTCTTCTATCCTTGCGGCACAGAGAACGGCCTTACATTCTAAGGTGGGGGCTCTGTGCAGCGAGGAGGTACTGTTTCAAGGATTAGACAGTTATTGCGGATGCGGGTGGCTGCCTTTTGTCACTCCGCAGGGGATTATTTCCCCCTGTATAACATTTATGAGAATCAGTACTAGTCTATACACTGTTAGTTTCTGACAGGTTGTATAACATTATGTAACTTATTAAACAATAAATATAACATGTTACTGGTAGACTGAAAACAGACTTTAAAATTTAAAATAAAATATAGTAATTGAAATTAAAACTTTCAATTATTTAAATTATATTTCGTAATAATTGAGAGTAATGTAACAGCGCAAATTGCATATTCTAATGAATAATTATTGCTTCATAATCATTTTATTATAAAATAAACAATAAATAAAGTTGAAGTTGATATTTCTATTTGTTGGTATTGTCTACTGTTTAATAAATTTTTATAAATACACTTATTTAATTCTCTTTAAAAATACAGTAATTAAATTTAGTTTGTACCCATAAGAAAATTTCTAAATGAAGGAAGTTATTGTTTCTTACAAATACTTTTGAAGGTTTATTTTACATAATATGTAAAGTTTGTGAGAATGGTTTTCTTTTCTCTTCTGATTTTAATTTATAAAAGTGTTTAATCTGAGCTTCTGTTTGCAGTTTGCATAATGCAAAAATGCATGCGAATATAGAAGACTAAATATATTTTTATTTTAACAAATATCTCCAAATTTCGTCTCTAATTTTGCATTTCAAAACTAAATAAATTTATCCTGGTACTTTATTATACGAATCATTGACATAGGTTTTTATTTTGAAAACTATAAAAGGAATTCAGCGGCTCGAACTCGGAACAGCGCAGCATGAAATCTACACCGTGACCTTGGAACTACGGACCCAATATGGCGGCTCCGTAAGGAACGGTGTACTGACCTTGTGTTTATCTTATTTATACGTAGTGCCATCTATTGACAAAAAATTTAAAATTATAAACTAAATATAATTCTTATTAAAAAAA